ATAACCTTTAAAATATACCCTTAAAAACCTTGTATTTTTATCGTCTATATGATTAAGTGCGATTTAATAACCTATACGATTTATTAAATGTTACCAAATGATATCAAATTGTACAAAAATTGTTCGATCTCCATTAAATACTCGTTTTATTGATTGTGAGTTAAAGAGGGACCATAAACTCGGCGTATCCTATCAAGAAAAACGTTTTAGTTTGACGATTTCCAGCTCTTTCAAATGCTTTTCTATCTACTCGTAGGACAAGATGTACAAGCTCCGTGGAAGCGACGAGAATGGCAAAGACGAAGGCGACGGACGAGGAACGACGGAAAATCCAAATTGCCGCACAAAGCTCTCGCGCAATCAGGTTCCTGGTAATCCTCGCGCCTTCAAGTACTTCGGCACGATCGCGAAAGCCAATTATGTGGCTGACGTACGTACAGGTGCGGCTTTAAAGCGGCTAGGCAACGGGGCGAATATGAGGGTACATAGGCATGGAAAGTGCATTCCGGCGGAGCGCAGAATTACTCGATTAGAGCTAATTCAAATTATGCTACAGCTCGTTATCAAAATCGCTAATTGTTAATTGGTACGCGCCAGCATCGCACGCGGATATATATACCGTCGGTGCGTAGAGAAACGAGACTCGTTGCGTTGACACGATATATTCCGCTTTGCGGATAAAAATTGCAACAATCTCGAGCGCAAGTCGAAGTCGCGAGATTGTCTAAAGTTCACGTTGCGCAACAATCGAAGACTTGTTTCTGAAGCGTTTATCTCATTTCGCCGATCACGCCTTCACTATCTTTCAAATATCTCGCAATATTTTCTCCATCGGATTGCACTCACGATTACCGTCGAAACGCAATGGCTGCATCTCACGGGAAAGCCAATTCTCGTCCCTCTCTCTTTGTTATTTTGGCGTGAAGAAACAGCAAGACGCATGTCCTCGATGGGATATATCCTCGTTTCTCGACCTTCCGCCTTCTAGTGCGTTTCCGCGGTCGATTCCCGCCGCTGATAAATTGCGAACGGCGAGAGTGTGGAAATTGCATACGCCATTGCAACGGCGTCCCGGGTGTGCAGTAATCGTCTTGGACGTGTGCGCGATGCTTTGGTACGTAAAAGAAAACGGAAAGAATAGAAGAGCAGGCAAAGGAGAAAGTACGCTACGGTACGGTTGTCCAGACAGGGAATCCTCTCAGGATGGGTCTCGTTAGTCCTGCGTGACAGACTTACGGCACCCAAGACTCGTCCCGCCTCGGCTACTCATCACGGCTTCGGAACGAAATGTACTGGAGAGACAAGAGGATGTTAGGTTTCTTCCTTCCAAATTACGCCCGTAGGCTTCTTGCCAAGTGGAACTAGTCCTCGAAAACACGCCCAGCAGGGACATATACATATCACACATAAAAACATGAATCATCAAGTCGTTATAATTAAATCATCAAATTATTGTAATCATCGTAATGGTCAATTAATCTAAAGAGCTGTACAAAGTGAATAAAGATCTCATACACATTTATCATGTATTATTTTTGATTTCTCTCAATCCTCCGATGCTGATGTTAAATTCTGTTAACTGATATTGACGATAAGTCTGCGAGACTCATTTAATTTATATTGACTAGAAGGCACTAATTAATTTTAAGAAACCAAAATGACATGCATAATTCATATGAAAAAAAAATGAATATTAAATTTATTTTAATAACAATGGATGCATTCAGTGAATACAACGATTGAGTGAGCGCTCAGTAATTATTGCTTGTGATTGGAGTAGACCTTTAGATCCACGATAAATCTAGAAAAATATATCAATAGCAACGAACGCTCATTCAAGTTGTGTTCGCTGTTGTGTTCGATGTACGCACCTAATAATTTGCAAATGAAGAATTGATTGAGTGGATTCAACAGACCCAGCATCAGCTCTGGAAGGTTAAATTTAATTACACGTTGTTGCCAAAGACGAGTATTTGTCTGCAAATTATTTCTCTACAAATTATTTCTCTTCAAATATTCAACGCATACATTTGAAATTCGAAATTACTGAAACGTAATTTCGTGCTTTACATACGAAAGTTTCTTTTCATATTTACGCGCTGAAAATTTGTATTTACCTAGTTCATGAGATGATCGTTTCGAAAAGATAATCTAACACCTGCACTGATGTGAATATCATCTTGAATCACATCAATGTTGTTCGGCTGCGCAGAAAATACATCCTCGATGATTCTCAACTTCTCAACATTCGCACATCTCTTCAGTGCGTTTTCGGAAAAGAGAGGGGGAGGGAGAGAGAGAATAGTATACAAGATGGCTGACGGCGCACACGCATCCAGGATGGGTAACGGGAGAATCCGGGAACAAATTCGAGCACGGGGAGGAGCTGGCTTGCCGTCAGAAGTTTGATTTATATGTTAATCGTCAGACAGCAGTCGCTGACGATGTCGACAGACACTGCTTGCTGTACCACTCTTTACTCCTCATATTATAACAATTCTCAAAATATCGCGTATAAGTAGACATCGATTATATCCGGAGGTAATATTGAAAGATTGGACAGGAAATTTGAGTTTTAACCATCGATCAGTTTCCGGAGAGGCTGTCGGGAGGATTGACACTCAAAGCTAATATATCACATAAGTAATAATTTATTTAAAAAAGAGGAAATATATAACCAAGCGAGATAGAGAGATAGAGAAAGAAAAAAATATTAACAAAACGTATGTGTATTAAGAATACATATTCTTTTTTATTTTATAAAATGTGTAACTTTAAAAAAAATTAATTCTCAAATCTTCCGAATAAAATTTCATGGGAGTTTTCGATAATTGAAAATTTAAAGTTTAAATTTCATTAGTATTTATTTACTTCTAAAGATAAAATCGATGACGACATTTATATCACATTATTTGAATATTAAAATTTGTACCATTTCATTACACAATCGTCTATAAATAAGCGATTAATTAACAGACGATGGATCAAAATTTCTGCCGAACCAAAAATAGATAAGTATGAAAATGATATAGTTCAGTGAACCTATGGAATTATTAGAATTTTATAACCGATATATTGAAAACTGCTACAGTCTATATTCGAATTCCAAATGTTTAATTGAAATAGATATGAAAGATACATACAGAAGGGTAAGCTTTAATTGAAATCGCGAATTTTCCATTAATTAGTCGTCAATCAATAATGTGTTAAAATTTCAGTAACGAGAAATATCAAATTAAACCAATCTTTTTGAATGGAATTTTCTTAGCTGGTTTTTGATCAAAGCAATATTCACATTAATGATAAAATTTAGAAAAAAAGAGATATTATTATATATATATATAATATATAATATATATACATATATATATATATATACATACATGTGTCATATCAAAGAAAGTACTTTTTATTTACTGGCTTTAATTATGGTCCATTTCGTTTTAATAAATTATAAAACTTCACTCATGTGTGTATTACAAGATTTTATCTTTATCAACTCGATCAAGCACTTGCGCAAACATTTCTATACTTAATTTACGCGCATATTTTAATGCTGTCCGGATTATGTCACTCGGATTTCTAAAAATTATATTTATTTATCATGTATAAAATAAAATGAAATAGTAAAAAAGAAATAAAAAATATAATAAAAAATATAAAAGCGTGTGCATAAATATGTATATAGAGAATGTGTAGTAATAATATTATCTTTCATAGACTGGTAGAATTAAATTAAATAGAAAAGTTCTCTACCATTTTACAATTTCCTCAATAATTAATAAAAAAATTAATTAATAAACATCTGCAAACCAAGATGAAATTTGCGTAGCGGAATTTAGCAACGAATATAAGCGCTTAACGAGCATTCAGAGACGCGCGCTTCTCGAGACTGCAAATAATGCATAACGTTGAACCGTCTTTTTCCGCTGAATCGCACGGATTCAAATTCATATATATTTATATATATATATACAGGGTGTCTGTATATATATATTTATATATATATATATATAATAACCATTATTACCTGTTATGAGAAGATAAAGCGGACGAAGTTGAATAGAAAAGAATTCTCAAAAGTTTTGTTACCATAATAATTACGAAAATAATTAATTAATCTGCAAATAAGCATCTGTACAGAACCATAGAGGACTTTTCTATTCAGTTTAACCAACCCTATGTATCAGAAGAAATGATACAGTTTTATATTTCTGCTTATCTATACATATATAGTGAGTGCAAAAAGTATTCGTACAGAGAAAACATTTTTTTTTAAAAAACTTCATTTTTAAAGAGTAAATATTATCCAAATAATAGAGTCATCGAATTGATGTCGATACAATGATTTCAATACCAATTTAACGTCGATTTGACATTTAATTGACGATCATTTCTTGCTGGGTAATTAACAATTTATTCATAAAGAATAAAATAGACTGTATGTTTCTTAAATTATATATACCAAAAAGATATTAATTACAAAAAATATCTCATCTGAAAAATAAGCGAAAATTAAAAATTGTATTATTTGGATGCTCAAAAAGTATTCTATTCGATCGAAAAATTTAGCTTTTAAAATCAGAAATACATGAGAAGCTCGTTTGTTTGTTAGAACAAAATGAATTCATTGTATAAAATTGCTAATTAATGTTTATTTTCTACAAATAAGATTTTTTTTATAAAAAATTTCCTTATACGAATATTTTTTGCACTCACTGTATATGTATACACACAGAAATATCTTATCACTTGAATTATTACTATAGCGAATACGGGTTTTTCTTATATTACAATAATAAAGCGATTTTATGAAGAGAATATTTCGTTATCTGTGTTTCCTACATGACATTCTTTAACAATTATGTTGTTTCACGTGACGCTCGAATAAAATGCGTTTTGCGTCGACATGAGATAAGAAGTTTTCGCCAGATGTGAGAAACATGACTGCAATATAAAAGCCAATGAGTATTATGTATAACTTACTAGTATTACACGTACCTGTGTGCTAGTAAGATGTTACGAAGTTTTATTTGCTACTTCCTATTTGCCGCAATTATCGGTGAGTAAAAAAAATATTGATATTACCTTTTTATGATTTTAAATTATTTATACGCATGTCTACTTATTAATTACGCAGGAACGCTCGTTAACTAACAAACTTATTTTCTATGATAAAAAGTGAATTTCTGATAAATAATGATGATAGTTAACAAGTGTTCAATTAACTATTAATGATGAACCTTTGGACTATTGGATTGATTGTAATAATAAACAAATTCCTCTGGATCATATAACTGGATACTCTTTTGATTATCATCATTATTTATTAGAAATTCACTTTTTATCATAGAAAATAAGTTTCTTAGTTAACGAACGTTCCTGCGTAATTAATAAGTAGACTTGGTATAATGTGAAAACTCAAATTTAGGGCCTTTGCGTTAATATATACTAATGTGTAAGTTACATGAAGAATTATTGCGATACTAAAGATGGCCTAATTTAAAGCCGAAACGTTTATTTTAATTGTTAATCTATTATTTGAAATATAAAATACTAGTTGCTGACATCTTACGTTTGTGATGTATGTCCTTTAATTTTCCGTTTTATATTCTTTTCGTCGAACGGTTTCGGGAGGACGTATTTTGGTTACATTTTTTTATCTAGGTGAATGCGCTAAAAAAATATGAAGGTCACTTACATTTAAAAAAAGTAGAAGTGATCTTCATATCTTTTTGACGCTTTCATCTAGAAAAATACGTCCAATACGTTGAAATCGTTCCACTGTTATCTAAAACATTTTTTTGTATCATCAATCATTTCAAAGAAAATTGATTTATATTAATTAATATAGGGCTACCTATATATAAATTGTAAATTTGCATATTAAATGTTATATTTATATTTATATTAGAAAGAGTTAAGCTTCATATACAACATAAATAACATAACTTATCTGACATTTAGAACTCGGCAATGAATAATAGAGAACGATAAAGTCAAATCAGTACAAGTTATAGCGGAACTTCTTTAGCCGTATTTTTTATTATCCAACGCGTCCCGGAGAAGAAAGTTTAAGAGGCTATACAGTTGCGTGTAATAAAGTCAACCAAATCTTCGCATGATTTATGTATTCACCGCATTGTGGGGCCAACTTTTTTGCTGAGATGTGACCCAAGACAAATTCTACCATCAGATTTAATATTACAGCATCCTTCCTGGTGCGACCGACTATTCCTCTTGACCCTCGAATCACAAGAGGTACGGTAACTGACATAAAGCAGCATCCTTATCAATTGAGCCTCCAGCGAGGTTCGCGGCACGCTTGTGGAGCCGTCATCGTCGACAATAAATGGGTTCTTACGGCGGCTCATTGCGTCAGGTATATACATACATATTTCTTTCCTGCTTGGATATCACATTATCTCATTACAAGGCAACACCTAAATCTTCATAAGACGTTTAAGCTAATTACATTTATCTTTATCTTTGAAACGTCTTCCAACTAATTTAATACTTCTCATTAAGTGTCAAATATAATCGCAGCATCATTATCGCAGGACGTATTTACTTTCTTCTTGCATATTTCAACAGTATACAAATTCGGATAGAGGAAGATAAAATTGTAAACTTTATCATAAATTTCCATAATAATGCAATTTTTCAAGCGTGTCTGTTTTTGAGTATCCAATTCGCGAATGCCTAATTAGGAAGAAGGTAAATACGGCTCTGATAATGAGCCGGTGCGATTAGTTAAAACTCAGAAACAGAGAAATCTTTCCTGGGAAACTCTACAATCCATTTTACGCTTTCATAAACTGAATATAACTCCTATCTGTAGCGGAATAATTATTATTTAAAGTAGAAGTTCCACCGCTTCAAGTTCACGTTCCGAATTGTCGTGTTAAAATTATACAAGTTGAAAATTTTACAATACGAATAAATTTAGACTCTAAAAAATATAAATCAAAAGAATATAAAGTACCTGTAAGTATACCTATATAAATGCAAAGAATATAAAACTCCTGCAAGAAGAGTAGCCAACATATAATATAAAGTACCTATAAGAAACAAAACAAAAATTGGATCATATATTCTCATATGAAAGTATAAACGTTTTAACTCTCGTTTTGGGCCATCCTCAGTGCATAAAATTTATTGCTAACAATAAAATTCATATAACTTATAAAGCATAATGATATGTAATGATGATGGAAACCGTCATACAGAAAATGAAATGAAGTGCATAATAAATTAATTAAGTATCGCAAAAATCTAATAGTAAATCGAAGAAATCATATATAATAGAATAATTTCGTGAAATATCTGACTTGTTCAGAAATGGTCAGCATTGAATTTATAACAAAAACAAACAGTTAAGTATCGAAAATTTAAAGTACAGACAGAGAAGAGATCTTGTGGAAAATTGTAGGCACGTTTGTTTGAAATCACCTTATATCTGGTAGAGCATCTTCTCATAAATGATCTGTAAATTATATCATAGCGTAGCTGCATAGCGTACGCTTAGCATCATGATATTTTCATATACCAGCACATACGTTCTGTTCCAGTTTGTCGGCAAGCGTTTACAGACTTCACGCAGGAAGTAACGACAAATACGAGGGAGGCACCTTTTATCTAGTTAAAAAGATCGTTCAACATCCCGCCTACAATTTCCTGACGATCGATTACGATATCGCCCTTCTCGAGGTAACATCGACCTCCATCTCTTTCTTCTTTTCTTTTGCTTCCTCGCCCCGATCTCTCTGTTTTTGGTCGTTAACGACTCTGCGCCAGCTGACAATAACAACATCGGTAGTTCTCACACACTGGAAATTTCATTTCAGATCGATGGCGAAATCGTATTTAACGATAGGGTGCAGCCAGTGAAGCTTCCGAAAAAGAAACTCACGGATGGTGTTATGGTGAACGTTACCGGATGGGGCGCGGTGCAGGTAAGTGCACGGAGAATAGACTCATTATTTGAACGTTGCGGAAAACAAATGGGTCTAAATAATAGCAAATTTCGCCCAATCGACCAAGCACGATTCGAAGATTTCGCAGGAGCGCTATTCCGTATCGGAAATTGTACCACACAGTATTCAGTATACGACCAAAAAAAAATCAATATCCCCTGCGTCCTATTTGTAATGATACTAAATTACGTTGCGGCTGTATTAAAGGTATTAAATTATGTGCCATTGTTAAATTACTTCATCTATGGACTTCCCTTTCCGATCTGGCGCAAAACTACACTTTCGCAGCATATCCTCCGCTAATTTCTCGATGCTGATATCTGATAACCGATATCGACTCCGTTCTATATATAGTTTCTAGGTGTTGGTATCTGTACTTTACGAGGAAGATTGGAGTGGGTGATCATTATGCATTATGTGCTACAATTATATGACAATTACATGTCGATAATCCTAACACGTTCTATTAAGGCGCGTTAGAGTAAATAATTGATGTGTGTTACAATTTACGGAAATTGTAAAATAATTTCTATTTTAGGAAGGTGGAAAATTATCACCAATGTTAATGACAGTATCGCTTCCGATTGTGAGCAAAAAAACGTGTCAAGGTATATACAAATACATCCACAGCATCACCGATCGAATGATCTGTGCGGGTTACATGCATGGCGGCCAAGATGCATGTGAAGGCGATTCAGGCGGGCCTCTTACGGCGGATGGTATTCTGTACGGAATTGTATCCTGGGGATACAAATGCGATGAACCGCTTTATCCCGGTGTTTATACAAATGTTGTGGACCTTCTGTGGTGGATCAGATGGATCAGTGGTGTTAAACTTTGACAATTACGCGCTCTTTGCTATGCGTCTCAATTTACGGTAGAATATAGAGTGTGGCTACTCAATAAAGGATCTGGATGACATTTATGTGAGACAAATGCCAGATCTTAAGAGACAAGAATTTTATAGAGATTTTATGTAATAATGTATATTGTTCATAAAAATTAATGCAAACGAGATTGCGAGTTTCGAGATCGAAGTAGTTTTAGGAGAAAGAAATAAACGATACAAAATCGTTATAATTATGCTCTCATTAATATTAAAAAGTATAAATTAAAACAAACAATATAATGAGGAAAATAAACTAACGATTAGTATTGATGTTATAAGTACCCAACAAGCTCAAATGTTTTAATTAAACGGCGTAAAAATAACGATATCGTTGGAAAGTATAAAATATATTTAATGTAGCTCTTTTTTCTCCCCCCCCCCTCTCTCTCTCTCT